ATAGTATGGGATGCCGCCCAACAGTTTATTGCTAAAAGCAATGTATGTTGACCCAAAATATTATGTGCATTCAACAGACTATAAATTAAATAAATTTTCACTTGGATCAGTACAGCTTTACATTATTCATTGTTTCCACTCTGTATGTATTCAATGAGTTAAGCATATTTCTACATGAATGTATATATTTATATCTACAAATGAACAAATAAAGAATTACATTTCACAAATGGCTCACTATTATTATCACTGACCTCAGCATAGGTTGAGGACAGAAGTAACGGAACATATGACTGACCATTAAAATGACATAAATTTAAATGATTTTAAGTGCTGAATGGCATTATAATGCATATATTGAGTAGATGGAAAATACTTAAAACCATAATTTGTATTACTTAGGACAGAGCTGACAAGATGTCTGAGATACTGGAGATGGGGTATAAGGTGGAATGTTTTATTAAAGTTTGAAAAATTATGTCCCTAATTCCATTAAACAAGACTGCACAGTATTTTGTAAAGACTTAGCATATTATGTAACCAAGAAAGCCTAATACTGTTATTGGCAAAATGACCAAGTCACTGTAGAGAAGATCAATGTTCACCCATGCAAATTTAAAGATTTACAGGTTTATTTACTAAAGCGAGAATTCAAAGTGAATTCAAGGTCTATTTCCAATGTATGACCAATGAAGTTGAACTAGGAGCATAGTTGACTATTTCTACTCAGAATTTAAAATTCTCTTTGAATCCCTTCAAATTCTCACTTTTTGTGAATAACTCTAATAAATGAAAGTTAATTTTGAAAGCAAGACAGCAGACAGAAAAAAAATGTCAGGAACCAACAATCTCTGTCAAACAGGAGATGATTCTTTGAACACTCTGAGGATACATTCTGTCCAAAATACTCAATGATAGATGACTTTTATTAAATATCTGCCTTACTTCTTTTATTGCATCTCCACAGCAGCAAACCATATAAAAATTAATCAATTAGAAACAAGTAAAAATAGATATAAATTGCCTCCTCACAAGAAGGACCTCCTCTTTCTTTGATCAACATAACAATAACAAAGTAAGAAGAGAAAACAATAACATGGAAATTGTTGAAGTCCATAAATTGTCTTCAATGCAGCAACAATTCAAAATAGCGCATCCCGGAAGAGAAGAAAAAAGTAAAATATGTGAAAGGAAATTAACTATTAACTACTGTAAACAATCAGAGCAAACTTCATAATACACATGAACAGCAGTAAAACATTAATAAAGCATTCACATAATGTTAAATATACTATACATAAATATAGAAATATATAAGCACAACTCAATAGAAGGAGTGAAAACATGGTAAATAAATCATATAAAGAATGGAACAACAAAAACAGGGATGGGAATGGAGGGAAATATTCACCTCTTGTCATTATTAAAATTAAGATTATCTTGTCACTAAAACTAGGATTATCTGCAATTTTACAACATAACAGGTGGCTTTATGTTTGCTATTTTAATATTAAGTCAACAACAAAAAACACATGAGAAGAAAGATGGACACAGATGTTAAGAAATGTATTTTCACAAGACCAATCTGCCAAGTGGATTATATGTAATAGTGAAGCATCTGCAGATAGCGCACAATTCTGCCACACCTCTGGCTGAGTGTACTCCAAAGAAAGGTCCTACCCCTGCCAGGGAAAGTCTAGCTGTTGTTGATTTATGATGTAAAATGTAGGAAATAAAAAATTGCCTGAACTGTGAATCACAACTCATTGACCAGAGTTATCTCAGAAAAAAATGATAAAACATTGTTGAGGAAGAAACTTAGTACATCAGGAAATGTCCCAGAGAATATAGTATTTTAGACCTGGAATTTTAGAGAGATGGATACATCAAAGCAGCCGACATACCAGAGAGTATTTACCCATGGGGATATCCTGTACTGGAAAATGACGCGCTGAAAAGGTTGACTGAATGTTATTAGAACAAAATGATCTACCATTGTTAAATAAACCGTATAGGAAATTCAAGATAAGGGAAACAGCTGCAACTATCTCTCCATGCTTGTAAAAATCAATCCACCATTAAGTCCAAGGTCCCTGGTAAATACACCATTTTGAGGGATATGTGCTTAGTAAGGCAAACTTAATAGATATCTTTGTAATATCTGCAAATATATAGGAGCATTTTCCTCCCGTGTGATTGATATAACATACAATGGAGAAATTGTCCATCTTTAAGAGCATAAAGCAATGCGACATATGTCTGGAAAAATTCCAGATTGTAAAAGATCCTGTAATCAACACCAAGTAGTTGATCTGTAGTGAAAATTCTGTGGTCAAACCACAATACTTCTGCTGACTCAATCTGGCGTGTAACACCCTAGCCTAGAAGGCTGACTTTGGATTCTAAGACAAGACAAAATGAAAGAAATTAAATCAAGTGCGCAAGAAGACCGTAGTGGCAGAGTATCTTGTCCTAGGATGCTGCAAATTTCCTTTTGAATCTTGGCAAACATGACTTTTGGTAGTTTAGTACAAATAGCTCTGAGTCAATTCCAAATCTCAAAAGTGAATTCTCAGAATGGGCGTTAAGACTGATTTGTCGCATTTCTCCACAAAGCCTAGCAAAATTCCATAGGTATACCACATATTGAGTTTAGGAGCGAAGTCCACCGGCTTTCATGAACAACAGCAGAATGTTATCCATGTAAATTATACATCAGATTCCTTAAGCACAGACATGTGCCATGACAAGTTTGAGCAGCATGGTGAAGCCTCGGGGGGTGGAAATCAGTAGAAGACATGTAAATTGCCATGACAAGTTTTACCACAGGACACTTAGGAATTGATGGCTTTCTGGATGGACATTCTTGGATTTCGTTGGCATCTAATGGAGTGCCTTAGACAAAGTGGCATCTTCTAGATATAGTATTTCAGTCAATGGTTCAATAAAATATCAAGCAATTTTCTGCCTGACTTGTAGAACACACTGGATGCCTTTGCAAATATCTCTGCCACTGCGGGCAATACATGTGACCATGGCCTGATCAAATTCTGGCTTGCCTCACCTTGTCCAATAGAGCTGGTCTCAGGCACTCTGCTCTGAGGTACTTGTGGACCACTTGTATAGGGATATCCTTAACCATAAATGGAGGAATTGCGCTATATGCTCTGGAGGGTATCAGTCCCCTGACTCGGGATAGTGAAAATTGAGTGAATTAAATAACTGAACACCCAATAGATCCAAGATAACCTCTCTATCTGGTAGTGCTAATGATGATCTTGGTCAGAAACCATATCGAGCTCACCCACAAAAGAGTTGTGGACCTATTTAGAGGTATGGTGGGTATCTTCCAACCCATACTTATGTCTGAAGCATATGTATCAGCTTGCCATATATTTAGTACCATCAAAGTGGGGGGCAAACTTTATTTCCCACGTCTGAGGACAATGGGGTTGCCACCACTGCACCCTATGTCTTTGAAACCCTTTATTTCTCAGATGGTTCTTTGCCTTTGGCCTTTGACATAAGTTTAGAATCCACTTTCCAATGGTTGTTAAGTTGGAGGGTTGTATGTGAGCTCCTGAACCAACAGCAGAGTCTTAATGAGCGGAGCCGGACTCCAACAGCAAGCAAATGGGCAGAGGTTAGGCCACGTCAGAGGGTAGTTGACTAAATGCTTTCGCTAATGCCTTCTCCACAGACGTGGACCTGGCTGTGCTGATCATGGGCTGTATGTCAGGGGTATATCCCTCCATAATGCTCGGGTAATGTATCAACACAATAGTGCACACACAAAATAAATAACACATAATTGATTACTATGACTGCTCTCTGGCAATATTGGGTATCCATAATCAGTGATACAATGTATAGTCACTCAATTGAAGCTGAGAAATTAGGTGCATAGAGTGAGCACTGATAGGGGTGTACATGTGGACACTATTATGGGGTACACAAATGGCCCCAGACCATCAGAGCAAAGCTGACATTAAATTAGACTGATAAAACAACTAAACATGCAAGGACTCACTCTGCTTTTTAGAATGAGGTAAGTCTATAGTGGAGGGGGCTTACCCTGTTTTTGAACAGAGATTAGTGTCAATTTACAGGCCATGAGCCAGGGGGCTCACCCCTGTAACAGTACGGGCTGATGCTACCACAGTTGTAGCAATTTGTAGGGCAGCCTTGCTACTATGCTATATAGTACACTCAATATTGTAACTTTCCCTCTCTGTGTTAGTGCAAGAAGGGCCAGCACTAAGTTGCCCACCATGCTAAAGTGTGGACAGTCCAGGAGAATGAGGAGACTTCACCATTGGGCCAAAATGAGTGGCTGTACAGAGTGGAGTCTCTTAAAGTGCCACTATAAGCACTGGTGGAGATCACCAAACATGCCAAACAGAGAAAAGCTTAGAAAACAAAACTTAGAAAAAAAAACGTATTAGATGGAAGTTAAGAACAGCATCAAAGTGGGGGGGGGGGGGCTAAAATATTTGTCCCTGGCACAAAAAAATAGCATTAACACCATATTATAAACAAAATTAAAATAGAAGGAAAAATATAAATACAGAGTGAGGAGCCAACAATGCTTTGACCTGTTAGCTGGTATGGAGCAGCAAAGAAAGAGGAAGTCCTTCCTGCAAGGAGGCATTCTATATCCTGTTTCTTGTTTCTGATTGGTTAATGTTAATATGGTTTGTTGCTGTGGAGATGCAGTAAGGAAATTAAAGCAAATACGAAGCCTCCTTTTATGTTGTAAAATTAGGGATTATTCTAGCCTCGGTGAGGGAATAATCTAAATTTTATTAAAGACAGGAGGCGAATATTAGCTTTACCTTCTTTACTGAAACCTCCAGCAGCAAAGAAACAGTTAACAGAACTTTTCAAAACAACCAATCAGAACAAAGCAACAGTAGTATAAAACCCCTAAGCAGGCTCTTCCACTTCCTCTTTCTTTGATGAGGTCGAGCAGGAGAGCAAGGAAACCAACGAATCCACCTTGTAGCAGACACATCCAGAGAAACAATCGTCAAGCCCAGAGAGAAAACAGATTACACTGCAAGAAAACAGAAAACATTGTGAAAGTAAACTGTCAAGGCAAGATGTCATATCCATACAATATCACTTTCACATCATAATACCTGATGAATAAACAAAGTCTACAGATCTTATGAAGACCTAGTATGTACCTAAGCTAAAAGGCATTGACGAAACATAATTACAACACAAACATGATGAATAAAACGCACACGGACAACCATCACTGAATATTAGAAATAACCTTTATTATGTAAAACCATGCATTCACAAAACATAAACAATATCCCCAATTATTTATAATAGAATAAAACCCAGATCCAGGGAGGGAACGTAAAAAAAGGGGGGGAAATATTCGCCTCCTGTCTTTAATAAAATTTAGATTATTCCCTCACCGAGGCTAGAATAATCCCTAATTTTATGGCAGGACAGGAGGCTTCATATTTGCAATTTTAACGCCCAAATAGTAGAACCAGAAGCAATATGAGATAGAGGACTGAAATAAAGGAGAATGGAAAAACTGATTCCCTAAACAAAGCAGCGGTGTAGAGAAAATGCAGAAGGGACCCAACGGCTTCCAAAATTGTTGAGGTGACAGCACCCCGAACCAAAAGTGTCACAGAGGAACTCAAGGTCAGTCAATGAGAGGATCCACCAAATCCAACGGGCGAGCGAAGATGCAGAAACAGTCCAAAACGGCCATACGCAGAAATAAACAGCTGTCCATGAGTAGACGGACGAAAGAGCCAGATCCTGGATCTACATGGTCGTGTACAATCTGTCAACAGAGCTGTGGCCTATCCGGAGAATAGGGGTACGACACAGAGGACGAATAAAAATGAAATATGTGTTGTGCAGAAGCCGATGTACTGAACGGCAAGAAGGAAGAAGACACGTCGATACCATGACGTCAGAACGCGATGAAATACAAGATGTACTGGGGGGAAACCGTAAGCGGAAAAAACTGTCAAGAGATAGGGCTCCCGTACGGTATACTCCTCTTGGTAGACTGCAGACCAAGAGATCCTTAGCAATGCCAGAATCTTGAGAAACGCACATGAGTCGTCCACTAGCTGACATAGGACGTGAATGGCCCCATACGATCCTACCCTGAGAGGGCAACTCAGCCAGACAATGGGGACAGTCATGATAAGGACCGCCATTGGGACCCAAACATAAGTCGTGGCAGGCTACCCCTGTGGATCCCAAGTGGGACATTAAGAGACAGGGAGTCGTAGATTGCCTTCCCATGGCAAACTCGAGCAAAAAGGGGAAAGCACGCAGGACTCCTCCGAAGTGGTTTGGCCAGGCGAAACGACACTTCCAGGAATTCGGTCTGAAGCAAAAACCCAGAGTATCCTGTAGGTAAACGGGATGCGTACGCCCCGAAGGAGACCAAGTTTGGAAAACTCGTCCCTCGCCTCGCTGAGGGTCCGGCAGCCAGTTGGAGAACCGCTCCATATGGCGGTTCGCACCGAATGTAATCATGCCAGTACTCGAGACCCTGGAGGGTGAGGCAACCAATCATTGGGGTCTCTCCATGGCCGGGTGAAGCCGTCCACCACACAAGTGTCTCGTCCCGCATACATTCTGTCACAAATGACGAATACTTGTCCAGAAGCTATAGATAGCGATCCTATGTGAGATCCGACTGCAGTCCGTAGTGGGCAACCGGTGAGAAGTCCATGCCGGAAGGTAGCGAGCAATACTGTGAATTTCGAACAAACCTGCAGGTAGTTCCATGCAGTTGGCGTAAAGGAGTCCCTCCTCCGGAGTCATCAATTAAGTCTTAGATGAGCTTCATCCGAAGGTCACATGATTTGGTCATACCAGGCCAAAGACCCGAGAAAGCGCCATGTTGGAGCGGCTGATAGTACCGGATCCTTGAGGTATGGCTTCCATGGCGAATAGGCACCGGTCAATTAACCGGGTTGGGCCCCTAAGTGTAACCCGCAGGTTGCGAAGCATATACCTGGTATTTTCCTTGAAGACAGACATCTTGGTCCTCGGGAGGCGGAGCACCGCCTGGACCGAATATTCCATGAAAGACCGGAAACTGGGTTGACTTGGAGTGAGTCAGATTCAATATGTCCATGTAGATGGCAAAATCCATGCGGGTTTCTCTCATGTGCATTTGAGGGAGAGAACCAATCGTCAACGCCGAGCAGCTCTCAGAGGGGATGAGTGCCCTCCGTCTCAAAATGTGTCAACAGACGACATGCACTGGGAGCATGTAGCGTGGGGATGGGGCGGGAGTCCACTCCACCGCACCCTTTGCCCAGCAGGGCAACTGCGGAATGAGTCGGAATGGATGCCTCTTTTGGTCATGCGTATCGCTCATGGAACGGTCCAAGGTTCCGCAACCTTGATCTGGAGTCCGGGCACGGCCAGAGAGACCTCTGGGCTAGTTAAGGGGGAACCCTATGAATAGAGACATGTCGGCTCAATTTGTAGACGAGGGTAACTCCGGAGAGCAGACCCAGCACTTGGATGCTAAATCCATCAGTTTGATGTCCAGCTTGGACAGGGGCCGTTTTGCGGTTCTCAGGGATAGAAACCAACTAGGCGATACCTATAAGTCATATCGGTCCGTTCCCAGTGGGAATTTAGTCTTCTCCGCTTTCCAAGCGGTAACGTGCCGTTCGTCCCAAGGAAACATCTGTTTCCGCGTGTCACCGACACCCACTGGTTAGTCCCAGATAGAGTGCAAACCCCGTGTCAGGTGTTTGTGGTGTCCTGTCCTTCAGCCGTGATTGCACAAATGATACCTGGTGCGGCCAGCTGGGGGTCACCCAGTGTGCAAGAGGGGGTCACCCAACAAGCACAAGCATACCATGCATACCATGCAGTATAGGCCAGCAGGGGAGGGGGTCACCCTCAGTCTGAACATAATCGGACACTGTAGGTACAGTGGTGCGGCCAGCTGGGGGTCACCCAGCGTGCAAGAGGGGGTCACCCAACAAGCACAAGCATACCATGCAGTTTAGGCCAGCAGGGGAGGGGGTCACCCTCAGTCTGAACATAATCGGACACTGTAGGATACACTTTTGAAGTGTATGTGTAGTGGAATATTTTAAGTCCCTTGCAGGAAGGGCAGCAAATCCTAGGCAGGGGAGCTAGGTGCTGAAAAACAGGCCATTAATTTTTATGAGAAAAAGACTGAACCTTAGAGGAAGACTTGATTAGCATATAACACATGTGGCATAGTCTTGTTAAACAAAGATTTTTATTTGAGCAGTAACATGTCCCTTTAAATCTGAGATTCACATGTAATAGTAAAAAAAAGTGTGACAAGTCTACTGCTAAGATAGAGAACCTAGTCACATTGCATCAGACATAGTAAGCTGCAGTTGTGAGCATGCCTGGGACAGATTCTGCTATCCAGGATCTGTTACATATGCAGCATGTGAGACAGGCACAGTAAGTAGAGGGATAGCTGAAAAACTGGGCTATCTTCCTTGATATAGGGAGAGGGGAGGGTGGCCACATGGCCAGCAGGCCAGTTCTTGGGTGAGACCTGGCTGTTCGCAACGCACAGAGCCCATGTGGCTCTGAAAAATGTCCGCCACGGCTCCAACAAAATGGCTGCCGTGGCTGCAAAAACAGAGCGCGGCCTACCGCGTGGTGATCGTGCGGCACTGCAAGCGGCCAGGGGCCACGGGGAGCAGGTGGGGAATAAGGGAGAAGGGTATGGGCGACAGAGCCCAGCAGGGGAACCCGGGGAGGGTGAACAGATTACAGGCAGAGCCAAAGCATCATAGCAGGGGCACCCATTCCCCATACAGCAGAGTGAGAAAACAGAATAAAGTAACCCAGAATAACAATAAATCAATGAGCAGTATACAGAGTCTATCAGATAAATAGCCTCAATACAGCAACAGATGTTAACAAGTGATACAGCAGCTACATAGCATGAAGTGGTATAGGAAATAACACAGCAATAGACTGCTTGGATAAACACAGCAATAGACTGCTTGGATAAACACAGCAATAGACTGCCTAGCTAAACACAGCAATAGACTGCCTAGCTAAACACAGCAATAGACTGCCTAGCTAAACACAGCAATAGACTGCCTAGATAAACACAGCAATAGACTGCCTAGATAAATCCAGCAATAGACTGCCTAGCTAAACACAGCCATAGACTGCCTAGCTAAATCCAGCAAGAACCCTGCCTAAATAAATCCAGCAATTAAGCTGCCTGAACAAACCTAACACATAGACTGATTAAATAGACTGTTTAAATAAACAAGCAGCATGTAGAATAAAACAACAACCAAGAGCAGAGACAACTCTGAGTTGGTGAGTGCTCACCTGGAGGCAGCAGCAAAGAAAGAGGAAGTGGAAGAGCCTGCTTAGGGGTTTTATACTACTGTTGCTTTGTTCTGATTGGTTGTTTTGAAAAGTTCTGTTAACTGTTTCTTTGCTGCTGGAGGTTTCAGTAAAGAAGGTAAAGCTAATATGAAGCCTCCTGTCCTGCCATAAAATTAAAAATACACCTATCATTGTATTGCATCACACCAAAACATAGCTTGCTTATAGTGTTCATTTATAGTGTGCATGGGAAATTTAAAACGACCACGAATATGAGAGCATCTTCATAGAGTTGTGTGACGAAGTGCCCTTCGCCACTTGGTCCTGGAGAGGCCTACTTGCCAGTCTCCTCCCCTGTGACTATGACTCTTTCATGTATCTGGCTTTAAAGCCCCTAGTCTACCTTCAGACAGACTATTTATGTAGGCTGCTTTATTTATCTTATGTTTTAGTCACCCTGTACCCATTATAGGTGCAGGGTGTGTGTAATGTAATTGTTTATAGTGTGTGTGTGTACTGTGAAATGTATTGCCTTCTCTCCTGTACTGCTGAGGTTTGCTACCAACTAGGTGGGTTTGGCTATGGAGCTTGTCTAGTGCCCTCTGTTGGTAGCAACAGCAATATTCACTACCTGAATTGCAAGACTGGTTCATTTGCATATTCGGGTAGATTTGCATATTGCTAATTCTGCAGGCAGGTGAGATATTTACTGTTAAATATTGTCTCCCCCCACCCCTTCAAAAATGTGCCATTGTGTTGTGATAAGTCACTGTGTGTTGCTTGATATGGTTTGACTGTTTGTGATTTTATTGAGGTTTCACAACAATGTTATTGTGGTGACCCTATTGGCTGGTCCCAAGGGAAATAAAGGTTTTGACAGTTCTTCTTGATCCCTCTAAACGTAGCCTTGTCTCGTTATTGGAGGGAGCTGTTATAATCACACTGGGGATTGCTATGCTCTGCATGCTCGCCTGAGCTTGAGTCACTTAGCTCTTTTAAGAGCTTGTTCCTGACACGCTCTCCTTGGAGGAGGGGTTTTCACCACACAGTCCTGGATGCTGGAGGTTCATACAGGGTGGAAGGAAGAGTTCTTTCCCACACTGTCCTGGAGGACAGAAGCTGATCCAGGGTGGAAGGAAGACGGCGGTTGCGCAGTCTGCGGTGGTTGTGGTGTCTGCTGCAGTGCTTGGAGTCCTCGGGAAGCGCTAGGAGCATCCGTCAACGGAGGGTACTCAGTCGGGGTACAAGGAGCTCCGTTACAAGTTGTTTTATGTATTAAATAGCAGCATACATTAAATAAATTAAGATAAAAAAAATTTAAGTTTCAAGAAGACAAAAAAAGGAGGTTGTATTTTATTGGTGCACGGTGTACAAATCTGGAAAACAGTACCACTATCTCGCAGAACATCTAAGAATTATACCACAAGTTTGACATTTCTGATATTGCAAAAAAGAGGTATGGACATTATGGAAGTAGAGGTGGTCAGTTCCATGATGCAATTAGCATCAAAGACAAAGTACCTGACAAAAGAAGAAGTTTGTCAACCCAGTGTTTTCCAGGTTGCCTGGCAAAGCAGCTATTCTAGGCTATGCATGCCTAGAGACTGGTTGCCTTACCCACACCCTGAACACTACTGAAACAGTCATCCATCCTGTCTCACAAACACAAAACCAGATATACACTCACATATCCAAGACAAATGCCCATCACCAGTCATATGCAGCCACTCTGTCCCACTGAATTTCACTGTGTAAAGAAGTCCCTAGTCTTCATCTGCACTCCCTTAGTCTGTTATTGTTAGAACATTGGACTGTGATTTTGCTGATGTGCAGCAATATCATCATTATCATTAGTGAACACTTTCCCTAAATATTTGCCAACTATGTTTCTAGTGGTGCTCTGCTAATTGTTAGCAGGAAAGAAGTGAATTCAATTAAATAAATAAACAGAAAGTCCATGGAAGACAATTTTGCCACATCCACAAATGGTTGAAATATGCATCTTTTTTTATTCCATAGTTCTCTCCTAGGTGTAACTGTCAATGAGTGTGCGTGTGTGTATGTCAGAGTTTGACTGAGTGGGCCTATGTGTCAGTATATACACATGTCATGTAAGTATGTGTTACAGTGCAACTGCACATATACCACTTTAGGGAGAGAACACTGGATTGATAGATGGATGAATGGATAGATGGATTAGACAGACAGACACCAAAACATGGTAATACCAGTTATGTAAATAATGTTATTTAAATAACATTATTATAATGTATAAATAATCAGTGTTTTTGTTCCTCATTGAATTTTTGTCCAGGATTATACATTTTCAGATTTTTAGGCTTCTTGTATTATGCAGTATTATATATTACATAACTTATATATAATACATAACTTGATTTGTTACACCTGTCTATGACTATTAATGTGGTTTATGCACTTAGCTTTATCAGGAAGAGTACTACTGGCACATTGAAGATCTCATATAGCCCCATTAAATTGCAAAATGTCCAAGCTGACAATTGGAAGAAGCTACTTCCTTTTTAAAAGCTTCCTTGTGACAACAGGGTTGCTACTGGGATTTCAGTTAATAACGTTAAAAATGAAAAATTCTTTAATGGAAATATCTCTGAAAGGATTTAGCAAATCCCATCTGGAAATGTATTCCATCTACCCTGAAAAAAAGATTTACTTAAATAAACACGTTTAACTGTCAAGACAAAGATTATTTCTTCATATTTCAATTATAAAGACTGTAAAGATGTTATTATAAAAATTACAAGAGAACAACACAACTAAAAAGTAGATCATTAAGGGGACATAGAATAGAGTGTTAAAAAGGTAAAGTGTGATGTTGGTCATTAATCTCTTATAACAGTCAGGAGAGAGATATAATAAATTAGTCATAGGAGAATATAGTATATAGAACTGTGCTTTTAATGTTCCTTCTTTTTGCCTTAAGACCTTGATCGCACCGTATATCAAATATATTAAAATGAAGGATTAAGAGATAAAAGTAGACAAACAACACCCTGTGCCCAGCCATCAGAACACCTGAGGATTATCCCCCTTTTTGGAAGGAATTCAAGACAACAATATAATGCGTTCTTGTCCCATCAGCCTTAAATCTCATTTCAATCCTCTTGCTTGCGTTCCTTATTCTGCATTACTCCTTCTGTTTGTATCTAGGTTCTTTTTTCTGCATGTAGAAATAAGAAGTGATCTGTTTATGATCTTTATAAGCCAATACCTAGATAGTAAAGTGAACCTCTTTTGTGCTAGACATTTTAATGTACTGATATATGTGCACTTGATTTAGCCATAACATTTATTTACAAAAAAGATGGGACCTCTCATCCAGGAAAGCCACAGTGTGCTTAACTAAGCAGGGGCCATCAAAACCCTTGCAAATAGTATATCCAAGAAAGGCTTCAGGCACACACTAGGCTTGATGTATGGTTGAATCATTGGAGTATCATGTGTACAGCATTTCAACCTACACAGAGGCCTTTGCCAAGCTTGCCAGCTTCCTCCCTACCAAAGATCGAGCACCTACCCCAGGAGTGGATGGCTGTAGAAAAAGCTGCCAGGACCAATGCTGTTATTTGCCAAAACACTCCAAGACATGTTGACACCTAAGTCTTCCACCAGATTTGGGGCCTGTGTGGGCTTAAGGGGATTGGGGCTTTCTGGGTTTCTATCTGCAGTGATGGGGGCATGGCATCTAGGGCCTAATGGGAGGTCTCAGTTTATTGGTAATAGGGTTCAGGTTAAGCGTTGACTGGGGGACTAAAGTTCAAACACCAATTCAAGGAAACAGCAAACAATTATAAAATTATACAATAAGAAAAAAATGAAAACAAAAACAAAAAAGAAGGAAAAATAAAAAATTCAGAGAACAAAAATGTTCAATTTGAAATATACAACAAAAGGGATGTTGAATCCACATTTTGTGTTACAAGCATACTTGGGCCCTTAGCCCTTCTTGGAGTGCATGCTGTTTAATATATGCTTTTTCCAATGATACCACTGTATTCTGACACACTACGCTTAACAGCATTAATGGGGTACTGTAGCGGCAGCAACCTCCCTCTTCCCCCAGACTTCTTCGTTCCTTACCTAGAGGGGAACTCAAAGGCAATGGAAATTTTCCTACTCCTTTCTTGTTCTGGCTATCAGTGAGTCCCTGCTGTTGGTTTAACTATTGTACATACTTTTGTTGTTTATGCTATTGTTTTGTTGTTTTGTTTATGACCAACTACTGGGGACTCACAGCGGGACTGAATAACCTAGAGATGGCTTGTATTACTTTGTGGTCCCTCTTCCTGTAAGGTTGGCCAAGTGCATCAGGCCTGTCAGCTTTATCATCTGGTATCCCTTATGTGTTCCCTGACATACCGCTAACATACCACTAAAAATTATTTCTCTAAATGCAAAAGGGCTCAATAGTCCTGGACAGCAGAGGCTTTTGCAAAGAGAGCGAATCTGGGTTTTGTTCAGAAGACTCATCTCCCTAGGTCATCCAATATAAAATGAACTGATTATGTCTAATACAGTGCCTATATCTCTTTGAAATCAAAAAGGGGTGGCATTACTAGTTAAAAAGATCTGTTTGCTATCGTGATTGAAGTGCTCAGGGATGAAGAGGGCAGGTATGTCCTGGTTACAGGATAGGAATGTCAAACTGGGGACACCAAGATCACAACGTGGGAGAGCAGGATAATCATCTTCCCAAGTTAGATATCTGTAGATATCTAACAGATGCTTGGTTGATCTAACATCCTGATGTCCATTTTACTCAGCACCACACAACACTTATTCAAGGATAGACCTGCTCATAACACATTTCTCTTTAATGCTAGTAGTTGAAAAGACAGAAATCAACTCTATAAGGCAGCTGGATCATGCTGACATTAAGATTTATCTAGCCCTGACTGCAGCAGACTCACCCTAGACCTGGCAGTTGAGTGTCTCACTATTCATGCGTGGTGCATGGTAGTGGAGCTGGCTTCAATGTTCTTAACTGCTTACTTTCAGGAGAATATTTTCAGAGTTCTGTATGTCCACATGAGGTCAACACTGTGATAATGGGACATTTTATTAAAGGGACACTATAGGCACCCAGACCACTTCAGCTTATTAAAGTGGTCTGCATAGGACATTCAGCATCAGCTAAAACCCCATAGGAAAGCATTGGGGTTGTCGTAATGAGATTGCGGCATTTGCAACATTGGGGCAGAGTAACGTAACTGGATTCAGATAAGTGACAGAAGGGTTTTTATCCTTTCAGCGCTGTGGGGATGTAAGATAAGGTAAGAAAATAACATGGTCCAACTGCCTTTATTATGAAACAAGTAACAAAATGACTCCCTCTTGGCCATCTGCAGACAAAAGTGAGGAAATCCCTACTCGTGTGGCTGACTTTCAGTCTTTCTTTTTGTCCCTGCAACTTTCGGCCTATTTGGAGGAGGCTAAAGCTTCTTTGGGAACAGAGGTCATAGTGGACATGGTTCAGACGATGATAGCAAGGAATTTAAGGCTCCCAGATTGAATGGGTTTGGAGGAGGGTTTTGAAAAGCATTCTGGGTTGTCAAGGCCCCTCACGACCCTATTTAAGGATTCTATATGTTTGAAGTGCAGATGAAAACACACTTCAGACATCACTTATCAATACTGATGCCAAATTGCTGCACGGTGTATATGAAGCCCTTCTGAACCTACTGTTGGGCACCTTAATTCATCTGTCTCATTATACGCTGTGGGGATATTTATGGGATGATAATATTAAACAGTCGAGAATTGCCCACTATTTCAATTCTCTTAGATCTTAGAGATCGTAATCATATAAGTGAAATGTATTCCATAAATAAAATCACAATTTGTTATAACAATAGATTTAATTTATTGTAACAATTACTTAACAATAATATTAGGCAGCATGCATGATAATAATCAGTGAATATTTAGTATAACATAAGTATGCAATACAATGGAATGGCTATACACGTTCCAATGGCTAACAGCATCATCTGTCACTCAAGATTTATGAGGGTAAGCTTCACACAACGAAAAGCCATAAAACCTTGGCTAACAGTTAAATCAACTGAGTAACCCTTTCAATGCTGGCTAGATCCTCCTAGGCATATAGTATCCTATTCTCCTGTGATTTTCAATTAAAATAGCATTCAAACCAGCTCATTAGTCATTTCCTGGAACCATCCAATAAGAATAATCTACCAGATTTTTTACAAAAGCAGAATTTTAATTTGCCTAAAAAGAGATCTTATCTTATTTTAGAGCAAATCAATACACCTGGATAAAAACAGCGGTAGGCTAACACGTGATACTATCACATTAATATATAATTATTCTTAATTCCACCTGCAGAATGGAATGTTTATAACTATATATTCTTTAGTTAACTAAGATTTCTAAATATTGAAATCTGACCGTGATTTATCCAGTCATATATCATGCTATTAGTCAATTTTAATTAATTTAAATTAATTAAATGAAACCAGCATAATTACCAGTTATGTAGATATTCTCGTCAGATGAGTAGGTAGTCCCAGGAACTTGATTGGTTGTATGGAGGTGTGTGAGTGATAGAGAAAAGTGGTGTTGGTTAGAAAGTCAGAGTAAAATTCTAAGTGTCAAAGAGTTTAAGAGTTGAGTGTCCAAAAGAGTTTAAGAGTAGAGTGTTAGTCCCAAAGAGTGTTTCTTGAGTCTCTCTCTTCGCATGTCCAAATTGGAATTCCCAAACTCCAACTCGTCTCTCTACCAACTACCTCTCTTCCCTTTGTCCTAACTTTTAAAGGGCCAGACTCTCTGTACGTCATTAGTTGATAAGCCAATAGGAAGCCGTAGGTGTGTTCAATCTATGGATCGCAATTTAGGTATTTGATCCATAGAGGGCAGTCTTGCCTAACTAATCCTTCTTATCCAGGAAAGAGTTAACTTTTCCTGATGACGATTTTGACGTTATTTGGCTTATCTAAAATGATTACCATAACTTAGATCTGCTGTCAGTTCAAAGTGTTTGTCTCAGTCTTTGTGGCAACTACTTTGATCGTAATTTGTAAAATTGACAGTTCTAAATTCAATTTCACCCCTTACTTACAATGGAACCTTGTAAAATTTAGAAAGTAAAATTAATTACTTAGTCTTCTCTGTCACTAGTGTCTGTGTTTATATAATGCATTCCTTTAGCTCAAGCAAGTGGCTAGTTACAGAAAGTAAGAAGAAACTATGTCTTTGTTATCCTGAAGATAGCAAAATGGAGTCCGCTCTGTTCTGAGTGACTCTGGAAATATACACTTTTAATTTCATTCTTAGCACAAAATGTCTGCTGATATAAGTATTCTGACAACGCAGAGCATGGCAGACATGGTTTGGTGGATGGTGAGTTTGGGAATGCTTTCTCTGGTCCTTTCTCTGGATGCAGAGAAAGCATTCAAAAGGATTATTTGGCCTTAGATGTTTGGGTTGTTGCAGCATTGTGGATTTCCAGAAGATTTCATAAGTGTTATAAAAGCCTTATATGCCTCATGTAGGGACCATATGTGTCAAATAAAACAAGAAGGTTGTCTTCTCTCTCATCTTCTATTTGTCCTATTCATGGGGCCCCTGCTGCACTCCATTAGAGGGTATTCTGATATAATAGGTGTCCCTACAACTCTGTTTTAGCCTATGCTGATGATGTCCTACTCACATTGACAGATCCACAGAATTCCCTACCACCATTGCTAGATCTGCTAACTCATTTTGGTACACTTTCAGGGTATAGAGTCAACCTTGATAAATCCTGTTATACCTTTCCGTATGAAAGCCAAGGATGCAGGCCTTTTAGTACTTATGCAATAAGCTGCTAGTAGACCCCAACAGGTTGGGTCCCCTTCAGTGAACCTTTTTAATGCACACCCTCAAGTATTGGACAGTTGGAATTTAAAACCTCATGGATGGGATGGGTGCGATAAAAATTAACTTTTTGCCCTGCCTGCTATTTCTTGCCCTTCTGGTCCTATTCAGTAAGAAAGATAAAATGACCAACTTCACTGGTGATGTATATAGTGAACTGCCCACCAAGAGGCAGTATAGTCATCCCCAAGCCTTCAGGACCATGCAGAGAGTGCTGGTGAAGTGCTCTGAGCTGCCAGAGGACAGCTCCCATCTGTTCCCAGATGCCAGACACCAGGGAACTGAAATAGAACAAGGGGATTGTTTGGGGCCCTAGTTATAATATTCAGTCCTACCCGTTGGCAGCGGGTGGTGGGTCCTAATATTAATATTTAGGAGGAGGACTTAGTGTCTTCCCCCAGCCCCCACAGGTTAACAGAAGGTGTTTTTGTGATGGCTATTAAAGGGACACTCCACTCAGTTCACTCAGTGAAAGATCATAAACTATCTCACTACACACACTACACACAAGCTTGGAATAAGCAACTTCCGGCCCCACTGTCGGACATGACTTAGCTGACCATTTTACTAAAGACATTCCACTCACATTTCAATATCCCACTTAGGAAGTTAAAGCTAATAACTAGGTGGTATACTACACATACATGGATTACACAGATCTGATACAACACTCATGAGTTGAGAAAAGTTACTATTGTTGTTATTATTGTTTTTGGCATGAGTCATTACAGATTCTGTACAATTGACAAAAGTCCAGGCTTTAGGGTTCGGGGAGTCCCTTCAAAATTTCAAGACAAACATAACAAATTCTAAAATCAATCCACATTGAAATTGTAATTATTCTTTGTATTTTTTTCACCTGCAACTACCAAAATTAAAGTAAATTCCAACACATATGATGTACTCATTAAATCAGGGTAATTAAATTACTTTATTTTTATTACTTTTCTTAAAATGCACAAATTATGCACACATTAATATTGACTAAACTGTGAAAGAAATGTTTTTTTATGTAATATTTTTAACATAATTCAGTAATTTTATTAATTACAATTTGAGGGACCTGTCTGACAACCCACGCAGAAAGTCCAGAGAATTTAGTTTGCAAGTCCTATATTTAACCCTGTAACACACCATAAAACCTGTACATGGGGCATATTGTTATACTCAAGTGACTTTGCTGAACACAAATATTAGTATTTCAAAACAGTAAAACATATCACAATGATGATATCATCAATGAAAGTGCTATTTTTTGCATTTTTCACACACTTTCACTGACAATATTGTTGTGATATCTGTTTTTAAACACTAATATTTGTTTTTAGCAATGTCTCCCGAGTATAATAGTACCCCACCATGTACAGGTTTAATAGTGTTTTTGAAAGTTACAGAGTGATATTTAAGACTTGCATTTCAGTTTTTGGTTATGTTGCCTTTGAGACCATATGGTGGCCCAGGAATGAGAATTATCCCCATGATGCTATACCACTTAATCACAAACCTTTGCATTTTTCAACAAATATGAATGCTAACTTTGGCCAGTAACTAAGTGGCTACTAAAAAATACCTCTTAAGGACAGAGGCAATTGTACAAATTCTGATCAAAACAAAACCAAAACAAAATCAAAAATTTGAGCTATATGTCTGCTCAATAGTGATGTCCCGAACGGTTCCCCGAACGGTTCCCCCGAACGGTTCGCGAACGGTTCGCCACGGACTCATCATTGAGTAAACTTTGACCCTGTACCTCACAGTCAGCAGACACATTCCAGCCAATCAGCAGCAGACCCTCCCTCCCAGACCCTCCCACCTCCTGGACAGCTCACTAAGAATGAAGCTTCACAATTCAAAATGATGCTGTCCAGGAGGTGGGAGGGTCTGGGAGGGAGGGTCTGCTGCTGATTGGCTGGAATGTGTCTGCTGACTGTGAGGTACAGGGTCAAAGTTTACTCAATGATGAGTCCGTGGCGAACCATTCGTGGCGAACCGTTCGCGAACCGTTCAGCGAACCGTTCGGGACATCACTACTGCGCAACCATAATTTCCTCTTTCATATTGAGTACACCCACACTTACTATATATAATTTTGTTCAGGAGAAATTGTGATTTCATTTCACATCAAATATTTATATATAGAACACAATTTAATATGAATAAAATGTAAAATAGCATGAGAAATTAGGAATTTTGTTATTTTCCAACTTCTGTTTGGCATTTTAACTGTGAATGCCATAATGCTGTTGGCTTTTACTGCAATAAAACACACATATTTGCATGCTATGGTACAGCAATGCCCCCCATGTACAGTTTTTATGGTGTTTTCGAAAGTTACAGGGTAAAATAAAGAGCTTGCCTATGCAGTTTTTATACATTTGCCAGATTGGTTTGCAGGGCCTATGTTGCCTTTTAGACTGTATGGCAGCCTTGGAATGGAAAATTGCACCCATCATGGCATACCATTTGCAACCAAAGGTATTCAAAATGTGGTATGTCCAATCTTTTTTAGTAGCCACTTAGTCACAGTGAACCAAAGTTTGTGTTTATGTTTGTGTTTTGCATTTGTCACAAAAAAAATGCAATTTCACCAATGATATCAATGTCATACAGTTTACTGCTCTAACACACACATATTTATGTTCAGAGATGTCTCAAAAGTACAACAATATGGCATTTGTTCATATTTTAAGGGGGGTTTGAAAGTTACAGGGTCAAATATAGGGTTTGCCCATTTTAGTTTTTACACATTGAAATTTGCCAGATTGGTTATGTTGCCTTTGAGACTGTATGGCAGCCCAGGAATGACAATTACCCCAATCATGGCATACCATTTGCAAAAGTAGACAACCCAAGGTATTCCAAATGGGATTATCCAGTCTTTTTGCAGTTGTCTCTTAGTTGCAGACCATGCTCAAACTTAATATTCATATTTTTTTGCATTTTTCACAAATAAATCCGCTCTTTCACCAATGATAGGATTGTCATTATAAGTTTTACTGTTTTAAAACAACTTATATTTTTGTTCTTTGATGTCTTGTGAGTTCAACAATACCCACCATGTACAGATTTTATGGTGTTTTGGAAACTTACAGGGTTAAATAAAGGGTTTGCCTATTTCTATTTTATAGATTAGTTTGCTGGGCCTATGTTGCCTTTGAGACGATATGACAGCTGAGGTATAAGAATTACCACCATCACAGTATACCATTTGCCAAAGCTTACAACCCATGGTATTCAAAACTGGGTATATCCAGGAAGTCCACCAGCATGCAGTGCGTTAAACTGCCTGATTAAACTGCAGCTGGGGGACTGCATGGGTTGTCACATTGCAAATGCAGTGAAAGGAAAGTATGGGGGCCCGGCCTGGAGGGACTGCCGACAGTTAGGGGCTACTATACTGCCCTCATTGTGCAGGACAGCATAGCTTAAAAATCATCTGAAGTCCGGCTACAGGAAATCATTTTTTCTATTACTAAACATCTTGACACAATAAGGTACTTTCAGTTGACAAAGTAAATTAAAGCATGAAAGAGGCATATTTTTTCAGTTTTTATATTTCCAAGTACACATGTAAATTTCCTTATAACTATCACAATAAGTCATAGGAATGCAGCATTCAGCACATAAATGTTATGCTTGTAAAATTTTTAGAGAGGCAGATCATGTGCATAATAAATATCAGTTGTTATTTGTTCCTAAAACTGCCACTATGTAATGAATTACAAACAGGAGAATCTGGATTATTGCATATTAATATTAAATGAAACTCTGGAATAAAAATTGTACAAAGTAGAGATTTTGGTAACCACACAATCTGTATTATATAATCCCAAAAAGGATGTCAAATTAGATTTTTTTTTTTTTTTTACTTTAAATGAGGTTCTCTCAGATAACTGTGATCTGGCAAAAAAAAATAAAAAAAAAATACTTTACTGCAGTTATAAGTTGGCCAGGTTTTTTTTTTTTGGTGTTGTTTTGTGACATTGCTTTTAAAGGTTTGAATAAACAAGGAACTGGGTTACATTTTTTTAGTATATTTATATTTTATACTCAGGGTTGTCAGCTGCCTCATACAAGGACTGCCGCTAAAACAAAATAACTCCTCATTCTTACTTAATGCTTGTAAATCTGCTGTTATGTCAAAATGTCAGAACTATGTTGCGGACTGTACATGTTGGATATAACTTTCAATTGGTTATATGGTTATATACAATACTGGATCATGCAAGCTCTTGTCTGTCATTGTCCTCTAGCCTACTAAATAAGTTAGAGCAAAAAACGGGTCGCAAGAGTATTCTGAAAACGGACAGCAGCTAAAATAGCCTGCCCTTCGGTGGGTCCCTGCTCAGAACTCCAGCTGGTTTTAGCTCATCTTGTGCCATTACAGAGAGAACATATCTGAAGCATATCAGACTGGTCCCACCCATACGGGCAGTCCAGATCCGAAATGCCAGCAAGTTCTCTCTGCACGAGAGATACAGCAACCCCAGACGATCGTTTCAGCCTTATAAGACATCATCAGTGAGGCATAGCTGATATCTCTCTAGGCACCGTGAGCAAGGGGTCCACGTCTGAATTACCCTTTAAACTAATGGAGAGCAAAAAACGGGTCGCAAGAGTATTCTGAGAACGGACAGCAGCTAAAATAGCCTGCCCTTCGGTGGGTCCCCGCTCAGAACTCAAGCTGGTTTTAGCTCATCTTGTGCCATTACAGAGAGAACATATCTGAAGCATATCAGACTGGTCCCACCCATACGGGCAGTCCAGATCCGAAATGAGTTTTGAGCAGGGACCCACCGAAGGGCAGGCTATTTCAGCTGCTGTCCGTTCTCAGAATACTTTTGCGACCCATTTTTTGCTCTACTAAATAAGTTAGCTGCTAAAGCAAAAAGTATGTGAGCTTTTTTATTTACTATGATATAAATTGTAAAATGTACAATCAGAACATAAACGTGCGTGACAATGATGCATTTTATAACTCTCAAAATAATAATAATATAATACAGTAGAAATATACAGAGCTATCATAAAAAAAATACATTACTGTATTAAATACTATTATTTACAAAGTGAATGATATATCTGCACATCTCAATATCTGTACCATTATCCAATCACAGGATGTCTCTTACTATAAGCAATTAGACATGTTTTGTTTATTATTTAAGTTTTTTGAGTACATATACTTTCATTAGCCTTAAAAAAGTAAAATAAAATAAAAACTTAAATAAACATTAAGATAAGCTAAATCTGCCCGCATCCTCCCAACAGAAATTTACTGATGCATTAAACTAAGCTTTTCCAAAAAAGTACCATGTGACATACACCAGACACAAGGGTGAAACGTTTTTACCTTTTCAGTCACTCTTATGAATATCTATATTATGGATACACATGCATTAGAAAAAATGCTTAAATGTAGACTCTAGGTTCCATAACCAACACAGCTGAGTATCATGGTTATGATGCAAAGAATATATGGGTAGCATCCACATTTGTGACAATTCATTTTGTCTGGCAAAACAGAAGCTCTCCCTTGAATCTAGTTAAATTCGGTGAATTGTATAATAATGTTTATCTTCTGTTGTTGCCAATGATGATCTCTTAAAAAGGATTTTGTAGATATATTTCTTCCTTACAAGCTTGTGTTACTGTACACTCTGCATCTTTTGATGAAAGTGTAAATGTTGCTTGATTTTACCTTGACCATTTGAGAGTTATTTTTCCCTGTTGAAAGATATAACCACTTATATGCTTTGATTCTTGGTGTTATCAAACCCATCAGTATCTATACATCTAGTTAATGCTCATAGTTGTTGGCAGCCATAGCTTAATTTGGATTGTTACATTTAGGATTTGCATCACCCTTATTGCAGCATTCAAGTCGTATTGGTAGAGTGCCATCAATTTCCTTTATGTATAGCCTTACAGTCGTTGGAATATATATTCTTGTAACAGTAGCCATGCATAATAAATTCCCACATGCCTTATAATAGTCATATTGGTTAGGCCATTAGTTATTTGTTCAACTGTCTATTAGCTGTCTTGAGTAATTTAAATCAGTAGTGTTTTTTTTATTTCCTAATCATAAAATATTATAATATTTTATATCTCTTCTGTGATTATTCATTGATTGGGGAGATAACTCTCACCATTTTCTCTCTCCTGTAAAATGCAAAGGTCATGAGTGATGTTACATTTGTTTCATTATAATCCTTTCCAATTTACAATAGTACTCCCTGGCAGGTAGACTTGCCTTCTATTGGTTAGTGTTTATTTATGAACTATTCTTAAATTTGAAAGTCCATTTGCTCCGAATCAGGTCTTAGACTTGTCTTAATGAACCATTCAAAGGACAACTGTAACCTGCAAACTATTTTAATATAATAATCATTTTATCAAGTTTTGAAAGGAAATAGATATTTTTTTAAATGAGAAAACCTTATCCCTACCTTCACACAGTTAGTCTCTATGGTCTTTCCTGATTCACTTCTTGCATAGAAGAAGATAAGACCATAGAGACTAGTTGTAGGTTATCAAACACTGTTCGACCCAAGGTGTGTCTATATGGCTGAAGGATCCTGCCATATACTAGAGATAGTGATACGGTTTTCTTCTTTTTGTTTGACTCATACTTTATTAAAAAATATTTTTTCCTTTCAAAACTTGATGAAATGCTGATTCTATTAAAAATCGTTTGACAGTAAAATCTCCATCTAATATCTTCTGGTGCCACTTGTCTCAGCTTGCTGCTTTCTTCCTAAGCCAATTGTGCAACATCTTCCCAGCATCATGATCTAGATATTAAGTCCTCTCAGAAAATTACGATCTGCAAGGTAGTATTTCCCCGGTTGCCCAAGCAGATTATTGTTGATCTGTTTATTCATTT